GTTTTATCTTGCAATGATGGATCCTATCAGTCCAGGTGAAGGTGGGAGATGGATGACAATATGAAAACAGTTCTTCCTTCTTCTTTGAGTATCTACGTATCCAACCCACAGAAGAGCCCTACAGGTCTCCCTCAGAACCCATTTATTCTCATTTTATATTCCCACAACACAACCGTCTACAGCAAGTTTCTTTGGGGGTGGTGGGGAGGCTGTGATTCCTAAACCCTGCCAGTCTGAGTCTGTCTTTCCACAGGGGTCTGCAGGATAAAACACCAAACACCAATTCAGAAGCAAGAAACCGAGATGATGGGCCCACATCTGCCAAAAGAGTTTGGGGGAGAGGGGGCAAGTTATTCCATTCTCTTGAGTCCTCAGTTTCCTCATCCATACACTGCAGAGGTGATTTCTAGTATTTCTTCCAACACAAATATTCTCCTAGCCTGATTACAAAAACTGGCTTCCTGACACCTAAAACTGATTGAGTCCCATGTCCCTATGAAGAGGTCACTGCCATGACCCCTATTTTACAGGGAGGCAATTAAGTAACTTGTCCTTAGGTATCTAACGAAGGCCAGGACCCATGCTCTGCCACTGCCACAGACACTTGGCCTTCAATAAACTGAGAGGAACAGCACATACTTTGCAGCAGCCCAATTAGTAGTGAAGGGTCCTTTCTGATGGTCTATGAGCTCCTAAAACACACACAAACTCTAAAAGGCAAATTTGGGGTCCTTTATGAAGTTTTAAAATCTCCAAACAACTCTGTAACCCCGGAGGGCACCATCTTAACTCACTCCATCCAATACCCTCATTCTATGGATTGCCTCATGGATAAGAGGACTGCTTTGGAATCTGGGTCTCCCAGGGGCTATCGGAGACCTTTTAAAGCATCTAAACTATGCACCTTGAGGCAGGTTCTTTAATAATCTCTGGAGTTCATTTTCTCCTCCTACTTATCTCAAAAAAGTTTAGAAATCAATACGTTAGGCATGTAGGAGATTGTGTCTCCTGCTAGCAGTTAATGACATGAGGGTGACTCCGTGTCTCAGCCCCTCTGAGGCCCTTTCACTCTCTCACACACTTCCAGGGGTCACCTGTCCTCCCTACAAGCTGATGAGACTTTTACTCTTCTTCAAAGGCTTCCTCGACATTTCTTCTGGATTTTGACAGAGAGAGACCACCAACTTTGGCCATGCTAGTCTAAGAAGTCTATACAGAATGTACCTCCTGCTAAAGTGTAGTCCACGTGACTGATGTAGGAAAGCAACACCAATCACCCCAGCACAGCAACCCAGAGAGGAACAACAGGATGAGCAGGGCTTAGGGGCAGGGGCCAGATACTGTCACCCAAACCATAATGAATGTCAGTCTGGTTAGCCCTGGATCAGTCACCTGCCTCTAGCGACTTCCTGCCTTCTCACTGGAGTCACAATTACCAGCTACTTCTCTTGCCCTTGCAAAGCTCCCAAGGCTGGGACAGCTCCCAGAACGTGACAAGAACTGAAACTGGAGAAGTATGGCCACCCGCTTCCTTCACCGTACTGATGAATGGATCATGAGAATGCAGAGCTTTGTTGCCAGCCAAGTGACTCTTACCAGGGATCATGGGGTTCTCCCAGACCCTGGCCAATACCCCCTGCCCTTAGTCACTGAAGCCCCGACTAAGCAACAGCTTGCAAAGCATCCTGAACTGTTTTCCCTAGAACCTGCCACCCACATCTCATGTTCAATCCCTGCTCAGAGGCAAAGTCTAAGCCCTGTCTCTCTACATCAGCAGCAGTTTCGTTGGTGTCCCTGGGGATCATGAACCAACTAACCTCTCCCTAACCTAACCACACCATTACTAGGCTATCAGGTTGCCTGCTGGGCAGCATTCAACAGTGACCATCAGGATTGCCATTTCTTCAAAAGATGGGGCAGTTTAAGGCACTGTCAAGAAAGAGCATTAAAGTTGCAGGAACAAGCTAACATCCAAAACAATCAACAGCCTGGTGACAGCTTCTAGTGCTCATTTAATCTATTCCCCCCCCCCCACCAAAAAAAAAAAATCTGTTGGAAGAAGTATGTATAGCACTCAAATTCCAACAGGAACACTTTCCTGTTTCCTCTACTACATACCTCTGTGGTCTTCTGAGTCTGGAAAGGGTTCAGATGACAGACAAATGCCCCATACAAAGGAACTTCAGGAACATATTTGAAAGAATTAAAAAGTGCATCATTTCTGGTAAGATATGAAGAGTTTTGTTCCAGAAGTCCATAGAAACTTGCATCTAGCTCCCATCCTATGGTAAGCAACAGCTTCTGCCGCCCCGTTCCAGTTTTCAGATCAAGTACTCTTGATTTGTCTACCTTAAACACTAGTTCAGACATTTCGCCACACCTACCTGGACAAAATGCACCCTGCTCTAGAAAGCCTGATGTGACATGACTCCTTTCTAACTGCAATATTTCTGAACTCATCTCTCACCAATAATGCCTGCAACCCACCATGCGAGAAGTCTTTCAGCTCCTCAACTAATTTATACTTCCTGTCACTACACCCTTGCTCCTGCCATTCCCTCAACATAAAATGCCATCCCCAAAGCTCTATTAATCTAAGTTCTAGGCATCCTTTAAGACTAGGTCACCCCACCTTCTCCATGAAGCCACCATCAGCCCAGCTAAAAGTGAGCATTCTTTCCCTCTGGTCATTTATCAACACACTGCTTCTTCCCAATCACAAAATAAGCAAATACCAGGCAAGAACCACACCCTGTACTTCTTTGTCCCCTCCTAGTGCCCCACACACGTGACTAGCATGTAACACGTACTCATTAAGTGTACCTGCTCTGTGAATGCATGAACACGTTAACACTTGCAGAACAACATCACACCAGAAACAACTACCATCACCCACGTTCACCAAAGCAAATAGGAAACAAATTTTAAAATGGCATTTTGATTTGCCTCAGTATTACATACTGAGTTGGTAATGTAGGAAAGACTACTCAAAACCTATGAGTAAGAAAGAATCAATCTCCCCAGGAATAAGACAGAGCACTATAGAGACATGGTGTTGTCTCTACATAGCTAGATAAAAACTGTGTTTTATCACAGGCAAAAATCACAACATGGCACTCTAAGTTAAGACTATGCCAAAGAGTTTTAAACCTTCTTGGCGTGACTATAATCAGTATGCTCTGTCTAAGAAATAGTGGCTAGGTGTTTCAGTGCCCCAAACTGCAAGCCCAGAATAGTCAGGTATTTAGACCACATGATAAAGAACACAAATGGCTATGCCATATGACAAGCATTGTAGATGTATTATGGAAAACATTCCCCTCTCAATTGGGACACTATGATACAAGCTGAATGAGTTTTAAAAATAATTTTAGTTGTTTTATATTATATCTAAAGGATCCCAGCTATTGAAGTGTGATAAATATTCATTTTAAGCTAAAAGAAATTACTAAATGGTGATGTTATGTTGCCTTCTTAGCATCCCCAAATATTATGAGGTTACTATATGATCCCAAGTAATATCTAAGATGGAACTGTACAGCTATTATTTGGCTATTTCAACTGAAACAGAAAGCACTGAAGGTCAGATTCCTTGTCCACCAAAAACAGAAATCCAGGTCAGATAATGACATGGCTAAGGAAAATCAGGGTTGTGTTTCTAAACATCAGCCTCAAAGTCAGGGACACCAACACCAACACTATCGTCATCATCATCATCACAAATAACAAAGGAAAGAAAGACTTTTACAGTACTTGTTATCTACCAAGCATGGCTCTGAGATCTTCACATATCAACTTAACAAATCTCCAGAAGAACTCTGAGTCATGTGTCACCAAAATCCAAGTTGCAGATGAGAAAACTGAAGTTGGATAATTTACACAAGGTCGCACGGCTTGCAAGTTACAAGGCCAGACTCAAGCTCAGGAAGTCAAGCTCAGAGCCCAGGCTCTTCCCCATGTGCATCAGCTCTTACCCATGTGCATCAGCACTTTCCCATCTACATCCCAAGGTAGGCTCACATCCCTGTTCCCATCAGCCTTCCAAAGACACACCCAAATGCTCTGAAAATCTGATAAAGATATTTGTAGGTCTGAAGTTCCTCCTTTTAGGAAAACACCTTCAAAAATGCAATACCTGAACTGACTAAAGGTATGAACTGTGGGGTCAGGCAGGCCTGAGTAAAGGCCTGGCTCCACTGCATGAGTGATTCTAATGGTAAGGTATTATTTCAGCCTCCTCATCTGGAAAATGCAGATAGTAACAATGTATAAGATGATTGTGAGGATCAAATGAGATACTACATGCAAAGTCCTCAGCAAAGTCTGAGGCACATAACAAATAATCTAGTAAAACAGTTAGTACAGTTACTATCACTTGTAATAGTTCCACTTGTTCTAAATTTCCTTGTTTCTAACTGAAGGATATTGCTTTAAATTCTAAAATACCAGAATGTGATTACCAGACTACACCAATATTGTTTTAACCAAGGATAGCCACAAAGTAAGACTTGCACTATCTGAAAATAATTGTAAAAATATTTCTTAATAATACTCAATGGTAGCTGAAAATTAGTATCAAAAAATATCTCGCATGTGTGAGACCCTGGGTTCAATCCAAAGCACCACATAAAAACAAATAAGTGAAATAAAGGTACTGTGTCCAATTACAACTAAAAAATAAATATTAAAAAAATATAGTGATAAACAATGATAACTATGGAAAGGGGCAACCTTATGAGAATTAGTTAATTCCTGAAATTTTAAATATCAGAAGCTGAGCAGTCTTCAAACAAAGAAAATGACTTGAAATTACCGAGAACAAGCTACAAGAATTATATCCAATATCTCTGAACTCTACACATTTGGAATATTGTTTTGATGAATAATTAGAGCAAACAGGTTTCACTGAGACAAGAAAGAAACACAAGTGGAGAAAACGCACTCAGATATCGGAAGCACTGTGTTCTTTTAACTGGGGGAGTAGGTTGGGAAATACTTACTAGTATCTGGAGTCTTCTCTTCAGATCTGCCAAATAAAAATTCGTATTTGGCCTTGGCAACACTCTGGGAATGTGCTGATGCACTGTTAACCCAAACGAACGTCTCTGCCTGCAAATTGAGAACAAAAAAAGATGACATTAAAAATGTATCAAAAGTACATAGTAAAACAAACTCACAGGAGCACGATCAAGCACACACACAGCCCACATTTGATAGAATCTATATCACACTCAAAAGACAAAAAAAAAAATGCAACAGGGAAAATCAGCATACAAAACTAGACCTCTGTGATTACAACTCTAGAAAAAAGACATACCTATGAACATAGGGGAATATAGAAAATGCAAAGAGTTTGTCTTGGTTGTGGGGCACATTTACAGTAGATGTTTTAAAAATCAAGTTTGTTTTTGAACGATTAGAAAACTATATTTTATTTTTAAATGTATCGTTTCCCACGTGATTACAATTACCCAGTTCATAACAAAAATATTTCTGAGTGGGTTCTATTAAAGACACTAACAAAAAAAGTAGTCTCTCCCCAGAAGAGATCACTTTTTTTAATAATCAGAAAGGCCACAGAGCCAAACCGTGCCCAAATTGAATTGCCAAGCATCCCATTACACTGTCCTGAATTTGAGCATCTGCCCAGTGTCCTTCATAATTCCTAAAAGCCCTTATTTGAAAGAAAAACTACAGAGGTGACGGTGAAAGCAGTTCATATTAGGATTCTGAATTCCTAAGGCCTCCTTCCTGGCTGCTCTGGTCAAATGCCAACTATCAAGAGTGCCCCCTCTCTCTGATCTAGATAAGAGAGATAAGGAAGAAATTTAAAAGCACAAAGAAATCTGAACTACACCAGTCAGAGAACCATTCCGCCTTTTTATTCTGAACTCAAACATACCCAGGATCCAGACCTCACCCACACTCTCTCTACTTTCTGGTTATGAGACGTCTTTCCTCATCAGTGACCAGCAAATTAATGGGGCTTTGCAGGGGGAGAGGCATGAAGGTTTCTATAAGCAACCAAGTAACTTCAGGGAAGAAAATCTTATATGACTTCTCTGATTGGAGCTGAGATGGCTAGGAACAGGGAAAAGTTCCACTTCATCATCGCATGGCAGGCAGGGTCATCAACAGAGAGCTAGCCTACACAATTTCAGGATAGCAATTTCTTAAAATAGCTCTACAATTGCATAATGTCCATAATGTGCAAAATTTATCTTTCTGGAAAAGGTACGCATTCTTCTTAGCATTAGGAAGCTAACAAAAACAAGCTGATTATCTTTTTCCCCAACAGAGAGGAAAAGTGAATTTTTTGACGTTTGGGGAGCTTTGGACTGGTAAAAGAGAAACTTGGCCAAGGGGCTCCCACCCCAGGTAGGAGCTAAGACCTACAGAGTGGAGAACCAGAGGCTGGGAAGGACGGCAATGTCCCACAGCCTGAAGGTGGAGAAGGATGAGACTACTCAGAGGAGAAAAGGCCCAGGTAGCCACAGGAGAGCCAGACAGTGGGCAAGATGACAGGGAGAAGAGCAATGCGCAGAGAAGTAGGGACCAAACACACAGTGTGTCAGGCAAAGAGCAGAAGAGGAATTTTAATCAAAACCTGATGGAAAGTCACTAAAGGGCCTTAACAGGGTGATTCATTTGCATTTTTAAAGATTATTCATTTACAGTTTTAAAAGACCTTATGGTGGTTACACAGAAAACGGATCGCAGTAAGTCTCAAGAAGCAGCGGAGACTCTAGTAAGGAGTCCAAATGAGATACCACAGACACTCAACACAGGGTGATGACACCAGAAACAGGCCAAAGAGGAGGAATTAAATATCTTGCATGCAAATCTATATAATTTTCTGATCAACTGGATTGAAGGAATGAATGAGGGAGTGGGAGAAATTGAAGATAATTATAATGGAAAATATTCACTCTCCATTTACACCCTGCAAGGCAGAGTTCTAATGCAACACACAGGGCTAGGGACGCAGCTCAGCTGGTAGGACACTGGCCTAGCATGTGGGAGCCCTGGGCTCAATGGCCAGCACCAAACACAAAAATCTTCCCAATGTAAAACACAGGATCTCTCATCGAATGCTCCAAAAGTCCATGGATCCCCAACCCAAATCCATGAAGTCTAAATCCAGAACCCATGATGCTGAGGATGACTCCTAGGAATGTGGCTTGAGACACTGGGTGTATGTACTGACATAAGGGAGACCAGAGAAGGAACGTCATTGGCATCTTGGGTATGGGCTTCCAGGTAACCTCCCAAGACCTCACTAAAACAACAGAAAGGAACATGTTGAAGAAGACATTCATTACAGTGGTGCTAGAGCAGAGGAAAGGAATGCCCTCTCAGAAGCAAAAGTTTTAAGCAATTCCAGGAACACCATCTGTTGTCTTTTAGAGTCTCGATTTAAAGTGTGAGCACTGTTCTCTGAAGACAGCTTCTTCCTGAGTGAGTTCGTAACTTCAGGTCTATGGAGGGCCCATCAATAGATCTTACACTTTCACATTTGGATGAGGGAGGGGAAAAAAAAATCACACCTTTATTCTCACTGCTAATGAAATTCACCATTCCTTTTTCAAATATAAACATCATCAACAACAGGGCTGGGGTTGTGGCTCAGAAGTAGAGCACTCGCCTAGCACTCATGAGGCCCTGGGTTCGATCCTCAGTACCACATAAAAATAAATAATTAAAATAAAGGTATTGTGTCCAACTACAACCAAAAAATTTATTTAAAAAAAATCAACAACAAATACCAGTATCAGTAGCTATAACTTTATCTCCAACAAAAATCCATTGTTTGCACCGTTATGTGACAGTTATGGCAGATCTCTTGAGACGTCATTCATACTCATCCCTAGATTAAAATGTGAGCAGTAAACAGATTCACCAATAAATTTTGTTATCATTAAATAAATTCATGTCACAAATTTAATATTTTGGTAGCCAACATAGAGTCAGCCCTTCTGAAGGTTCTGCATCCAGTTTCAACCATGGATCGAAAAAACATAGAAAACTGGTTGTATCTGCACTGAAACTGTACAGAATTTTTCCTTGCCTTTATGCTCTAAATACAGACTATAATGACTATTTACATACTATTTATATTGTATTAAGTAATATAAGACTATGCCATTTGGCAGAAGGGGCCTGAGCATCCATGGATTTTGGTATTCTTGAACCAATTCCCCATGGATACTAAATTAAGACTATACTCTCAGTTTCTTTTACAACTCTATGAATATTAGTATATGAATTTAAAAAGCATTACTTTAAAAAGAGATTCAGAGCTCTATCAAACTGTCAAAAGGAGCCATGGTACAACAAAGATGAGGAGACCTGCTCAAAAGCATGTTCCCAAACTGCAACTACGACCCATTCATGGCTTGTGTAATTAGTTTAGTGGATCACAACCAGATTTTAATATAAATGAGTTTATACATACATATATATTAATGAGCACACATTTAACAGAATAAAATTGAAAATACCAGAGTAGAGAGTACACAGCAAAATAAACATTGTCTTATAAAATTTCTAAATTGCATGCGCGTGTGTGTGTGAGAGAGAGCGAGAGTGAGTATGTGTGTATGAGTGTGTGTGTGTGTGTGTATGTGTGCATGTGTACTGAGTCATAATTTAAAGTACACCTCTCCCAAGTGTTATGGTCCAAACTAATAAAACACCTTGCTCTAGAGTGATTCTCAAACTTTACATGAATGAGCATCCCCCACAGCACTTATTAAAGTCCATGCTCCTGAGGTGCACCCCAGAGTTTCTGATTGAATAGATCCACAGTGGTCCTACTGAATTCTACTATATTCTTAGTACAATTGTCTAATAATTTTACAGGTGACATTGATGTTGCTGGTCCAGGAACCATATTATGTGAATCACAGCTCTAAGCCAATGTTTCTCATACTTTATTGTTTATGAGAATCACTTGGAAATCTTGTTAAACTAGCGACTGAGTCACTCTGAGAGGGAGCCAGAGACTCCATAATCCCAAAAAGCTACACACAATCCAGGCCCAGTGAGTGGACACACCTGTAATCCTGGTGACTTGTGGGGTTGAGACAGAAGGATTACAAGTTCAAGGCCAGCCTCAGCAACTTAGCAAGACACAGTCTCAAAATTTTAAAATAACCAGGGCTGGGGATGTAGCTCAGTGGTAAAGTACCCCTGGGTTCAATCCCCAGTACCCAAAAAATAAAATAAAAGACAAATGCTAATCCTCAGCTCACACCCTGCATACTAACTAGTTTTGCAGGTGCTAAAGTTGGAGAGTGAAGGAAGCAGGGTTTAAAGCACTCTTGCAGAAGAGAATCACTTTTTGAAGGGCTGATCTATTGAGGAGAAAAATACACTAAAGGTCTCCATGCTAACAAAGCACTCTGTATTTGGAAACCACAAGGAACCCTACATTGCCAACATTCAGGCCCAAATCAAAGCATGAATAATATTTGCCTGCCTCGCTAAACAAAATAAAATTCGTTCTGCTTACATGAGTTATTCTTACAGCGGTGAGCCCTGCTAATAGAGCTTGCTCTTCCCCTGCCAAGTCTTGTAAACCTTCACACATCTCTGCAATACTTTTTGCAGGTCTTTGAAAAATTATACTTGAAACAATCAACTTGATGAAAGTCCCACATAACTCGGCACTACATTTTCATATGTTCTTTGTGTTTGCCATTTTAAGAACATAAATCTCATAAGCATGGAATGGGCCTGGGTATGCAGCTTGGTGGTAGAGGGCCCACCTAGCAGGCACAAGGCCCTGAGTCCAACCCCAGCACAAAAAAAAGAGAAAAGAAAATTAAAAATGAACTGATCTGGGCCCCAGACATGTGATCTGGATTTAAATCCTAGTTTTGATACTCTCACACAATCTCACACAAATGCTTCATCTTTGGACTTCGGATTCCCTGCTGATAAAAACTATTACAGGTTGAGCATCCCTAACTGAAAATCTGAAATTCGAAATGTTTGGGGCACTGGCACAATGCTACAAGTAGAAAATTTCACACCCAAACCTCATCTTCTGACAGGTCATAGTCAAAATGCAAGAGCATTTGTAAATTACCTTCAGCCCATGTATA